AGATAGATAGATAGATAGATAGATAGATAGATAGATAGATGATGGATGGATGGATGGATGGATGAATAGATGAAAAGATAGATAGATAGATAGATAGATAGATAGATAGATAGATAGATGAGTAAAGACACTCCTGCATCCAGCAGCTGCTCCATCCCATCTTAGCTGATCAAGAAAGCTAAGCAGGATCAACCCTGTAGGTAATTGGAGGAGGCACCATCTGGGAAGTCCAGGGCTTTGCCTAGACTAGGAGGTCAACAAACAACTGAGAAGAAAGGAAGGGCAACCCACTTCCATCTTTTTGCCAAGAAAATTGCATGGATGTATCCATGAAGTCAACAGGAGTTCAGCTTAGTCCAAAGGAGACCTGACATAGATATTAGGGTGGTGCAGTGCTTCAGGTTCAGAGGCAAAACTTGTCTGTGGGAGCTGTGGGATCCCAGGAAAAGATACATTTGACTCAAGGAGTTGCAGACAGGGGCTGTATTTGTGTGGCCATTTTCTCCAAAGCCCTCCCCCTTTTTTTTTGCCCTCAAATCCAAAGCACAGCAGAGCCCTAATAGACAGAGATAGGCTAGTTACCTGTAACAAATAAATTCCCCCAAAGTTAGCCAAAAAACAAACAAACAAACAAACAAACAAACAGGAGTCTTAGGGTACTGTGAAAATTAGCATAAATTTACGTGGATTGTAATCTGAAAATACAGATTCTTTATTGCTCCAACAAACATAATCTTCAGTAGAGATATCTCCATAACTGCAAAAAGCATAATACTGTATACAGAGGCAGGGTTGAGATCTGAATGTCATGTTTATTATATTCCCCACACACTTTGAAGTTCACTCTGCATCTAGACAATTAAAGCAGAGTAATCGTCTTATTTGTTGATTCTCTTCTATCCCTGTTTCATCTGACAAATGGAGCTCGCTTCTCCTACAGAAGAGAAGCTGAAAGAAGCTCTGGAATTCCCACCCCCACAGATCTGCGAGAGTCACTGGGGATTTTCTTCTCTGCTAATCGGCTGCCATCTGTCCAGAACAGTTAATCCAAGTCTGCACTAGCATTCGAGGGTAGCTTTAAGGAAAGGAGACAGATGCTAAACCTATATTTCCTCCAAAAGATTGATAAAACTGTAATTTTTAGAGTGCCTGAAAGGGAAACTAAATACTCGCTGTGCAAAACAATAATTTCTCACCAATTTCAACTGGATGGATGACTGGGCATGGATGAGTAGAAGATACCTTCAAAAATTATTTCACTTGTTTGATCAGATATTGCTTGTGGAAAAGCTGGGGTGAACTGCTGAGATCTCTGTTGAATTCTATGAATCTTCATTCATGTTATTTCCATGGATATCCAAAGAAGTGCGTGGACTTCTTTGGTTTGCTCCTCAGATATGTCATATGGGATCCTATCACTGGCATACCATCAGATGGCTTAGCATTTTTCCCAAGGAATGTGAGGATGTCAGTGGAATACAATTCAATTCCGTCGGCTCACTTTGATGCCACTTCAGATTTCCTGCATTGTATTTCATTGATGTCTTGACATTTTGAGACAAGGCAGGAGTTGGTGACACTCTGGATTGACCAGGTCCCACCTCATGGGCCACTGCTGGGCATCCCACTTGAAGGAAGATGCAGAAAAATCAGAACAGATTCAGAAAAGGCCAAAGTGAATGACCAGGGCCGTGTTTAGTCTTGAGAAGACTAAAGAAGAATATGAATGGATTCTTCAAATACCTGAAAGAATGTTACACAGAAGGTCCTCTTTTTTATTTCTCCTCCCATCTTAAAGCATGGGACATGGAATGATGGATTTAAATTATAGGAAGGCATGCTAGCTGGGGAATTCTGGGAGCCGAAGTCCAAACATCTTAAAGTTGCCAACATTGAGAAACACTGGTATAGAGGTAACTGTATAACTCAGACATGCAAAACCACATTTCATATCTGGATGGGGTAAAGGTAAACGGCTGGGAGGTGGATTGTACCCCACTTTCACGTTCACAAGTGCTCATTTGTTCATGTGCAAAATGATAGGATGCATTGATATCTATGACCCAAGGATTTCACTTGTGAGTTTGAGAGAAGGAGGTGAACCCTGAAGATAACAGATCAACACGTGTATATATTTTAACTGTGGTTTTAAAAAATGCAATCTACAACTCCCACCACCCACCCACAAACCCAAACAACATGTCACTTGTGCTTCTTAACATGGAAAAATGGAGCTGTTCTGGATACATTTATTCATTTAATGTTCGTTTTCTTTTTTCTTTGGTTAATTTGTTTGTCTTACTGGTTCACTGGGGCTGGTCAAAGGCTTATTTATATATTTAAAAGGGAGTTAATAACAAGTTGTGGAGCCCAGAATGTGTTCATACTCCCCTGTAACATTTATAATAGTATTTTATTGTTTTTCTGTCATTTATTATTATTCTCTTCTCTTTGCCCATGCCCATCCATCAATACACGCACACAGAGATACATCTAAACTCAGAGACTGGGCACATCAAACATACATATTTGATTACTGGACAGATTAAAAATAAATCAATTAATTGTGTGAGTGGGGCTCATAGTTTGGATTTATAGCAAGCCTAAGGCCAAAAATTTGCTATCCCAAATTCTTAAACAAAAGTCAACCTTCTAGAAATATCTGAACTTCTGAAAGAAAGCTAGATTTCCTCTACTGGGTCATCTGAATCTCTCACTCGGTATATTGAAATGAAACATCCTCACCTCCGATTTCCATGCAGACCAAGAGCAAAAGCGAAGATTTTGTTCCCTATCCAATCTCTTGGAAATATCAGCTAATTCACCTTCTTCCTCCTCTTCCTCCTTCCTTTTGCTGGGCCATCAGAAGCATTTGGCATTTTGCTGTCTCAAGTAAAGTCCTGTTAGACACTTCCTGGAACAAATGAAATCCATTCATAATCCAGCCTCTGTTAAGCTCATTAATGCATGAAGAAGGAAAGCTAACTTGGGGACCGAAAGGATAGGCTGCCAGAGGACTCCATGGACAAACAGCTATGTGACAATGATGGGTTCTCTACCCTACTTTATAGGAGACTTAAAGCGACTTTCCCCCCTTGCACTTAATGCTACCCTGAACCCACAACCTTTTTTTTCTGCTATGTCCTCATGATGTTGCCTTCATCTGATCCCCAGCCCATACTTGAGGCAGCCTTACATTGTCCTTTCTATACAGAGGTTCAACACTGTTTTTGCTGTGGATACAATTTAATGCACTTCTACAACAATTTGGTCAGTGTTGCAATCAGGTGACCCCTAAGGAGGTGCATCAATCCAGTACCTATTGAGCACTTGAGGTTGGCGTGCACAAACCTTCTCCTCTCCAACCCCTGAACGCTCTCCTCCAGGGCTGGTGAGGGTGGTTCTTTCAAACCAGGTTTTGCCTTTATCTACCAGCTTTCTAAGCTTCACACTGGATCAGCCCAAATTGCAGCTGAATAGCAATGGCAGTGGGGTAAGGGGATCAGATGGAGGCTCTACAGTGAAGCAGCAGAGAGAGACAGCTGTGGAGAGGGGCCCTCTTGTAAGTTGTGGTCATGTGTGTAGAAGG